GAGAGAGAGAGAGAGAGAGAGAGAGAGAGAGAGAGAGAGAGAGAGAGAAGGAAAGGGAGAAAGAGGCCAGTCCATACTACATAGCAAGACCCTATCTTGAAAAGCAAACAAAAATATCACATATTGATTAAAATTTGTTGCACTGAGTACTTAACAGACTGCCACATCAGCACTCTAAATGCAATTAATTAAAATTTGTAAGACCAATGTATTGAACAGTTCAAAGGAATCCAAAGTTATGGTGTGTTTTAGACACATTTAAGCAAGCCAACAAAGTTATCTATACCATGTAATGATACAGTGTGTACTCTTGGGGTGCTCTTTCATATTAGGTTATTTAAAGGGAAAAGTTAAAACTCTGAAATAAAAGCTTACTGTTCACAGATATCCCCACTTCCCATTAAACTAGCCAGCTTACTACTGGAGCACAACGTTTTTAAAACTTGAAACATAATGGGGCTTGGTGTGGTAGCTCACCTGTCTGTCACCTTAATACTTGGGAAGCTAAGCAGACCTGCTGAGTTCCAAGCTAGTCTATGCCACAGAATGAGACCATGTCTCAAAAACAAACTCAACAGGGCTTGAGTGATCAGGGAAACCTCACTCACTGAAATATATGAGAGCTCGTAACAGTGAAGGAAGCAGAGCTTAAACTCAGGTCTGCTCAACTTATATTTCATGTACAAATTTCTACATCAAAGAGTATTTCAAAAAATATTTCTGTAGCTTGAAATTTCTCTCTTTCACTGAGGTTAATAATGGTATTAGTTAAATAATGATTTAAAATAATCTAATATGGGGGTTGAAGAAATGGCTCAGTGGTTAAGAGAGCTAGCTGCTCTTCCAGAGGACAGAAGTTCAATTCCCAGCACCCACATGGCATCTCACAGCTGTCTGTAATTCCAGTTCCAGGGGATCTGACACCCTCACACAGACATAAATGTAGGTAAAACACCAATGCACATAAAATAAATAATTTAAAATAACCTAACATAAAAGTGTCATGAAAGACATCTGAATCAATTATTCAATAACAGCATTTGTTACCAAAACAAACAAAACATATGCATTATCCCCACCCCATTCCCCCCAAAAGGCCAATGACCAAAGTACTCTTCTACTCATCCAAGCACACTTTACTAGTCTCTTCTTATTCAGACACCCTACGAATTTTCTTTTAAATCATACTCCAGAAAATTTGAATCTCCCAGAGTTAAGATATAAAAAGGAAAATGATTAAGTCGATCCTAAATCTTTTTTTATTTAATATTTTTATTTTATGATTAACTTAATTTCACATATCAGCCATGGATTCCCCCGTCCTCCCTCCTCCCACCCCCCAATCCACTCCCCATTCCTACCTCCTCCAAGGCAAGGTCTCCCCTGGGGAGTTAGCCCAGCTTGGTAGACTCAGCCTAGGCAGGTCCAGTCTCCTCCTCCCTACACCAAGGCTGAGCAAAGTGCTATCCTAAATCTTAATCACATTATTATGGAATCAAAATTAAGTCTAGTAATACTAACTAGACTTGTTTCATTATAACTTTATAGCACCCAGGACACTATATACCCCTCCACTAAACAGTGCACCTAAAGGAACGTGTCAGGAATTCAGTCTCCACTTACAAAGGGAAAATAGAGAAAGGATAACCAAGGTTGCTAGTGCCTCTTTTGAGTTATAGTCGCAAAACGTTGTTGCAGTGTATTATTGGTTTTATCAAAATTTACTATGGAAATTTCTTGACTCCTAGGTTCTAATCTCATATTTTTATTAATAAAATATCTGAGGCAAGGTCACCTGGATGTACTCATTGCCAAAATGACTCAGATAATTTGCTTCAGAGTAGCTAGCTAATCACTGTAAGTGTACTTCATGAGGAGAGATGGTGGGGAATTGTATTTATCATAATTATTCTAACAGGCAACATATTAATTACTTTACGTAACTTATTTAAATCCCAAAGCACTCTATAAACCAGGCATGCTGGCCCATGCCTGTTACATCAGCACTCCAGAAGCTGCAGGAGAATCATTGCAGGGTAAAAGCTAGCCTAGGCTATATTGTCAGGGTTACTATAAGGCCCTTTTCAAAACAGCAAAAACAAAAACAAAAGAAAAAAACACTCTGTAAACTTGACTAGCTAGTTTTTGAGTATTTTGTTTCCTTTTTTAAGAGTGATCTAACTGTAGAACTTAAGATTCTCTTGCCTTAGCCTCCCAAGTACTAGGATTACAGACACATTCCACTATGCCTAACTTTAAAATCGTTGTGAATATGAGAAAACTAGAATTAGGTTTCAAAAATTAATATGAGAAGGAATATTACTGATTCAGTCATGTCTTAACAGCCTTTATGTTCCTCACTAAAAGGTTAATCAGAACAAGGTGAAAGGGAAAAGTTAGTCAGAATACAAAGAAGCACTAGGAACTGTGGTGGTATTGTGTTCCCCAAAATATTGTGTACTCTAATAAATTTATCTGGGGTCAGAGAACAGACAGCCACTAGATACAAAGGCTAGAAAATAGTGGCACTCACACCTTTAATCCTAGCATTCCAGAGATAGAAATCCCTCTGGATCTCTGTGAGTTCAAGGCCACATTGGAAATAGCCAAGCATGGTGACACACACCTTTAATCCCAGAAAGCCAGCCTTTAATCCCAGGGAGTGGTGATAGAAAGCAGAAAGATATATATAAGGCGTGAGGACCAGAAACTAGAGGCATTTGGCTGGTTAAGCATGTGGCTAGTTAAGCATTCAGGCTTTTGAGCAGTAATTCAGCTGAGACCCATTCCGGATGAGGACTCAGAGGCCTCCAGTCTGAGGAGACAAGACCAGATGAGGATCCGGCGAGGTGAGATAGCTGTGGCTTGTTCTGTCTCTCTGATCTACCAGCATTGACCCCAATAACTGGCCTCGGGTTTGATTTTATTAATAAGAACGTTTAAGATTCCTGCTACAAGGAACTTCCTGGGGGACTAAAAAAAGTTAGGTATCTTGAATGTCACATAAAAGTAACCTATCTACACAGCAGGCCCCATCAGCCATGGAGTACGTCTCAAGATTCCCAGTGGATGGCTAAAACTGCAAACCATAGCAAAATGTACATACAAGTACTGGAACAGTTCAACAGCTGATGGCACACCAGGTGGGCTAAGTGAATAATAGGCGGGGAACACAAATGCTAAGACTAAGACAGAAACTCGTACTAGGTCTTGGGGGTATTGCTATGACAGACAGACCTGACGGTGTTTCAGAGAGGACTATGGTAGCACTGGAACTTTGGACTGTCTTGGGGTTTCTCTTGCTGTGATAAAACACCAGGACCAAAAGCAAATAGGGAAGAAAGGATTTATTCCATCTTATAGCTTACAGTCCATCATCTAGAGACGTCAGGACAGGAAGTTGGAGGCAGGGGGTGATGCACAGGTCACAGAGGAATACCACTTACTAGTTTGTCCACCAGGGCTTGCTCAGTCTACTTCCTACAGCATACAGAACTGCCAACCCAGGAGTGCTGCCACCCACAAATGCGCTGGGCTCCCCCATTATCGATCCATCAATGAAAAAAAGCACCACTTCTCCACGGGCGCCCTCTTCTTCCCTCTTAAAGTATTTATTTTTTAAAAATGTTACAGGAGCCCACAGTCAGAGATTCTGAAATTTTAGGGAAACTGAATATTTTTGAGAAATTTTGGAAATTTTAAAGAAACTGAAGGTTTAAAGTATTTGAATTTATTTTTTTTTATTTCTTTTTATTTTTTGGTTTTTTAAGACAGGGTTTCTATGTATGATTAGGCTGGCCTTGGACTCATAGAGCAGAAAGATCTGCCTGCCTCTGCTAGGATTAAAGGCATGCACTACCTACCCCAACTGTGTTTGGATTTTTTTTTTTTTAAGGACTAGAGTTAAAAGTTGGAATGTTTTATATTGTGATATTAATATTAGTATAATATCTCAGGACAAATAAAGCAGAGGTCCTAGTTGAATACTGATGTGTTTGTGTGTCAAGTTTACAAAGGATGAATCACTCTGGGTAGTTTTATGTCAAACTGACACAAGATAAGAGTCCTCTGAGAAAAGGGAACCTCAATTAAGAAAATAACTCCACCATATTGGCCCATAAACAAGCCAGTACCATACCTGGTGGGTAGGTGGTCTCTGAGTTGTATAAGAAGTAACTGAGAAAGCAAGGAGGAGCAAGTCAGTAAGCAGCACTTTGTGGCTTCTGCTCCAGTTGCTGCCTCCAGGTTCCTGCTCCAGCTTCCCTCAGTGATGAACTTATCAACTATAAGGTGAAATAAACACTTTCCTGTCCAAATTGCTTTTGGTCATGGTGTTTTATTACAGCAAAAGAAACCCTAACTAAGACATCATGCATGTATGGATATGCAAACACCCAGGGGAGGGTGTAGCATGAATCTTAAAAGGTCTTTTAATAAAATCAAACCTGAAACCAGGTATTGGGGTGAATG